TTAGAATTCAAGAGTGAAGGGCTCAAAGACATTTGACTCCTGAGGCCACTTGCATGGCCACGGGGTGTTGTTGGGGAAGGAAGTGGAAGCGCTCAGAGTGAGCAATGTCACCAACCAGTTAAGGACTGGATTCTTTGTCTTGCACCACGGGAACTGAATAAAACCATAGATATGAACTTCCTTGCTTCTGCCTTGATCCTTCATGCTCCAGGGGAGGAAAGAATCCCCTACGTCTGACAGGTGGAGGGGTTTTCTGTTGTGCAAGAGGAGGCAGAACTTCAAAAGGGCTTTCTGTCTCTTACAGTTTCTATCAGCATGAATGCTCAATAAAGACATCACCTGGAAGGGACCTTGGCCTTTGTTGGTGAACTCATTCACCGTGCAAACAAACAGAGACTACAGCAGGGAGTTCAGGTTCTGTTGATGTACATAGAAAGCAAAGGAGAGGAGGTTTTTGTCTCACTTCCCCGTCTGAATGAAGCACTGTGTCACTGGCTCCCAGTCCACACACAACAGTAATAAGCAGCTTCATCTTCCAGAAGGGCCCCCGTGATGGTCAGGGACATCACATTCCCCGATCGAGACCCAGAAAAACGGGCTGGAACGTCAGACGGTCGGGTGCTGGTGGTGTACATTATCAGTCGGGGTCTACTCCCAGGTTTTTTCTGTACCCACCATGGGTAGTTGCCATCACCGATGTTTCCACTGTCGAACCTGCAAGACATGGTGACCGTCCCACCTGGTGCCACAAATTCTGTCTCCTTCAAAGTCTGTAACTGCTGGATACTGGGACCTGGAAGGAAGCAGGGCAAAGAATCAGTAGGTTAATTTAAAGTGGACAACACAAAATACTTTGCAAAGCGCAGGGCTTGGAAGGGCAGTTTCTGCCTCTCTCTGCTTCATATCAGATTTGTTTCCCATCCACCCAATGAATCTCCCTCACCAATGATGGACACCAGGATTGTGAAGAGGAGCAAGCCCCAGGTCATTGTGAGGAAATCTACAGAGTGGACTTCTCTAAAGAAAAAAGAGATCCCATTGGCATCTGCCCAGCCTCTCTTAAATCCCCAGAGGTTAGGGGAGCAGCCCCTTCATGCAAATGTGTAGCTCCTTAACTACTGTGTCCAGCTGTTGATGGACTACACAGAAAAAGCAGCAGCCATCTGCTGGTCATGGCATCAAGCACTGGGAATCTGATAAGTAAGGATCTGGCTTCAGAGAAAAGTTCAGCAGATTGATTTTTTCCTTCTTCTTCTTTTTCCTTTTCTTTTGGAGGACCTTCCTTGTCTACAGTCATACACAGATTACAATTCTTAATTAGTTGTAGTTTCCAGGTCACCTTCAAAGGTAGCCCCACGTAGAGCGCATTGCAGTAGTCCAAGCGGGAGATAACCAGAGCCTGCACCACTCTGGCCAGACAGTTCGCGGGCAGATAGGGTCTCAGCCTGCATACCAGGTGGAGCTGGTAAACAGCTGCCCTGGACACAGATTTGACCTGTGCCTCCATGGATAGCTGTGAGTCCAAAATGACTCCCAGGCTGTGTACCTGGTCCTTCAGGGGCACAGTTACCCCATTCAGGACCAGGGAGTCCTCCACACCCACCCGCCCCCTGTCCCCCAAAACAGTACTTCTGTCTTGTCAAGATTCAACCCCAATCTGTTAGTTGCCATCCATCCTTCAACGGCCTCCAGAAACTCACACAGCACCTTCACTGGTTCTGATTTTTTAAAAAAGTTAGAGCAGAGATTCACAGATTCTTTTCCCCCCTTTTTCTTTTAAAGGACCTTGAATCTCCCATCCAGTCAAATAGGAATCCAAGTCAAAATGTTACCAGCTGCCACTGCCATTTTTAGCCATTTGCCCCAACCTTCCACTTTCTGCATGACACATCCACAGTGCTTCCCCAATCCAATTCTTCCCCCTCCTGCAGTGTGAAAAGGCTCTGGTTCACAGCAGCAAATTCTGCTGCTCATTTTCTGTTGTTGATTTAGGACAAATCTAATTTATTCATATAAACAATATCTCTATGACACCCCATGACTGAAGTTCTCTAGGCAGCGTGCATAAGTATGTCTAAAATACAAATATAAACAAAAAGAGGCACTTACAATATAAAACATTGCACAGCACAGTTTACCCAATAACTGAGCCACAGAGAGAATTTAGAAGCAAGCAAATACTTAGGACTCAGCTAGATTTGTCATGAAAAAGCGATTGATATGCATTGTATATGCGATATAACATTGTGCCACCCGATGGTGCTGTGGAACCACGTTTTTCTCTACCTGTTTTCTCTCTTTAAATTTAAAGGTAAAGGTACCCCTGACTGTTAGGTCCAGTCACTGACGACTCAGGGGTTGCGCACTCATCTCTCTCTATAGGCCGAGGGAGTCAGTGCTTGTCCGTAGACAGCTTCCGGGTCATGTGACCAGCATGACTAAGCTGCTTCTGGCGAACCAGAGCAGTGCACGGAAATGCTGTTTACATTCCCGCCAGAGTGGTACCTATTTATCTACTTGCACTTTGACGTGCTTTTCAACTGCTAGGTTGGCAGGAGCAGGGACTGAGCAATTTGAGCTAACCCCATCGCAGGGATTCGAACCGCAGACCTTTAATCAGAAAGCCCTAGGCTCTGTGGTTTAGACCACAGATCCAACAAAACTCTTTAAATTTAGAACAACATGTTAAATAAAACGCTCCTTTGATATGTCTCCATCCAGCCAGTGGAAAGTGGAAAGTGCAACGGTGACACCTACTGGATGCCCCCATGATGGTCAAGGACCTTCCATTCCCTGATCTAGAGCCAGAGAAATGGGCTGGAACTGTAGACGGTCTGGTGCCGGCAGTGCACCCAGGTTCAGAATGGGTGCTTGATAAATAGCAGGCTTCGCTGAACCTTCCTGCTGAAACTGTGCAAGGATGCATGCTCAATAAACCATTCACTATGCAAACAAACAGAGGCTACAATAAAGGAGTTCAGATTCTGTTGACGTACATAGAGAGCAAAGGAGAGGAGGTTTTTGTCTCACTTCCCCGTCTGAATGAAGCACTGTGTCACTGACTCCCAGTCCACACACAACAGTAATAAGCAGCTTCATCTTCCAGAAGGGCCCCCGTGATGGTCAGGGACATCACATTCCCCGATCGAGACCCAGAGAAACGGGCTGGAACGTCAGACGGTCGGGTGCTGGTGGTGTACATTATCTGTCGGGGTTTACTCCCGGATTTTTTCTGTGCCCACCAAGGGTAGTTGCTGTCACCGATGTTTCCACTGTCAAACCTGCAAGACATGGTGACTGTCCCACCTGGTGCCACAAATTCTGGGTCCTTCAAAGTCTGTAACTGCTGGATACTGGGACCTGGAAGGAAGCAAGGGAGGGAACTGCTTAGCACATTAATCTACATCAAACATTTTGCAAAGTGCAGGCTTTTAGAGAACAGAAGACGCCTGCTTTTATTTCCACACAGATTTGTCCCCATTGACCCAATGAATTTCCCTCACCAATGATGGAGATCAGGAATGTGATGATAAACAAGACCATGATGGAGAAAACTGCTGGGCTAGATTTTCTAAAGCAAAAGGAGATCCCATTGGCCTCCGCCCCATCTCTCTTAAATCCCTGGAGATCAGGGGAGCAGCCCCTTCATGCAAATATCTAGCTCCTTAACTACTGTAGAGGACTAACAGAAAAAGCAGCTGCCAACTGCTGGTCATGCTGTGTTCAGGGAGCTGGAACTGACAATCTGGATTCAGAGTTTAAGCTTAGAAGGTGCTATGGTTTGGGGGGTTTTTTGCGTTATTTTATTTTATAGGTCCCCCCTTACACACATTGGCAGGAAGCCTCCTTTTCTTCATGGTGGTATAATCCTGGGATAGACCAGTCTGTGTTTAGCCCAAGACATTAAAAAGCATCCTGGCCTGATTGCAGGAATGGATCTGCAGCAAACATTTCAGCTCATGCCATGCTTGGGATACAATGGCTGCTTTTGCTAAAAAATAATTCCCTGGACCAAGGGAGCAACCCTTGAATTCAGTGAAGATATTAAAGTTCAACACCTAAATCTGATTTATAATGTTTGGTTTTTTGTTTGTCCCAGTGATAGCACTGGTTTTAATATATGAAGCCCTAGTACAGAAAGCTTGGCGCTGTGTTCTAAACCACTGAGCCTCTTGCGCTTGCTGATCAGAAGGTCAGCAGTTTGAATCCCCATGACGGGGTGAACTCCTGTTGCTCTGCCCCAGCTCCTGCCAACTTAGCACTTCGAAAGCACACCAGTGCAAGTAGATAAATAGGTACCACTGTGGCAGAAAGGTAAACAGCGTTTCAGTGCGCCCTGGCTTCCGTCATGGTGTTCCGTTGTGCCAGAAGCGGTTTAGTCCTGCTGGCCACATGACCTGGAAGGCTGTCTATGGGCAAATGCTGTCTCCCTCGTCCTGAAAGCGAGGTGCGTGCCGCAACCCCATAGTCGCTAAAGTCTTCTCAACAGTTTAGAGTGCATTTTCCAAAGTAGCCCAACACTCATCAGGGATTAGGGGAAAGGTAAACCAGAGAAAGAATCCCTCTGAACGTTCAGACCCTGCCCCTCTCCTTTGAGACATTAAGCCCTGCCTTTGGTGGTAGTAAGTACTAGCAGCCCTGTTTAGGGAAGCTTTTAATGTTTAATAAGCTATTGTATTTTAATATTCTGTTGGAAGCCACCCAGAGTGACTGGGGAAACCCAGCCAGATGGGCAGGGCATAAATAATAATAATATTATTATTATTATTATTATTATTATTATGGCATATCATTCTGTGAGTAGCATTGGTAGCCATATATTCTACCACTGCTAGTTCAGATATTTTTTACTTTGTATCCATACATTTAGGGATAATAACACAGTAATTGTACAGACATCACTGAAACTTTGAAAGGCAGTTCAGATTCTTTTGATGCACCAAGGGAGCAAAGGAGAAGTTTTTGTCTCACTTCCCCATCCAAATGAAGCACTGTGTCACTGACTCCCAGTCCACACGCAGCAGTAATAAGCAGCTTCGTCCTCCAGAAGGGCCCCCGTGATGGTCAGGGACATCACATTCCCCGATCGAGACCCAGAGAAACGGGCTGGAACGTCAGACGGCCGGGTGCTGGTGGAGTACATTATCTGTCGGGGTCTACTCCCAGTTTTTTTCTGTGCCCACCATGGGTAGTTGCTATCACCGATGTTTCCACTGTTGAACCTACAAGACATGGTGACTGTCCCACCTGGTGCCACAAATTCAGGGTCCTTCAAAGTCTGTAACTGCTGGACACTGGGACCTGGAAGAAAGCAAGGCAGGGAACTGCTTAGCACATTAATCTGCATCAAACATTTTGCTTCATATCAGAATTTCCCCCCATCCACCCAATGAATCTCCCTCACCAATGATGGACGCAAGGATTGTGAAGAGGAGCAAGCCCCAGGCCATTATGAGGAAATCTACGGATTGGGTTTTTTGAAAGAAAAGAGAGATTCCATTGGCATCTGCCCCTTCTCTCTTAAATCCCCAGAGTTCAGGGGAGCAGCCCCTTCATGCAAATGTCTAGCTCCTTAACTACTGTGTCTCGATCTTGAAGGACTAGCACAGAACAAGCAGCAGCCATCTGTTGGTCATGGTATCAGGGAGCTGGGGATCAGGATTCAGAGAAAAGTTTCACAGATTCATGTTTTCCTTCTTTGTTTCCTTTTCTTTTAGAGGACCTTCCTTGCATACAGCCATACGTAGATTAGAATCCCTCACAATGGAATCCACCATCCAGTCAAATACGAATCCAAGTCAAAATGTTGCTACTGCCATTTTTAGCCATTTCCCCAAGCTTCCACTTTCTGCATGACACACCCACAGGGCTTCCCCAGTTCAATTATCCCCCTTTCTGCAGTGTGAGGGGGAAGGCTCTGATTCACAGCAGCAAATTCTATTTGTCTTTTTCTGTTGTTGGTTTAGGTAAAGGTAAAGGGACCCCTGACCATTAGGTCCAGTCATGGTCGACTCTGGAGTTGCGGCGCTCATCTCGCTTTATTGGCCGAGGGAGTCGGCGTACAGCTTCCGGGTCATGTGGCCAGCATGACTAAGCTGCTTCTGGCGAACCAGAGCAACACACGGAAATGCCGTTTACCTTCCCGCCGGAGCGGTACCTATTTATCTACTTGCACTTTGATATGCTTTCGGACTGCTAGGTTGGCAGGAGCAGGGACCGAGCAACGGGAGCTCATCCCGTCGCGGGGATTCAAACTGCCGACTTTCTGTGGTTTAACCCACAGCGCCACCCGCGTCCCTCTTTGTTGGTTTAGGACAACTCTAATTTATTCATATAAACAATATCTCTATGACACCCCATTACAGAAGCTCTCTAGGCAGCGGGAATAAGAATATTTCGAATACAAATCTAAACTATAAAGAGACACTTACAATATAAAACATTGCACAACACGATTTAAGCAAAAACTGAACCACAGAGAGAATTTTGAAGCAAGCCAATACTTAGGACTCAGCTAGATTAGTATAGCAAAAGCGGTTTATATGCGTTGTATATGCAATATAACATTTTGCAGCCAGATGGCAATGTGGAGCCCCGTTTTCCACTACAGTTTTCTCTGTTTAAATTTACAACGCATTTATCTGAAACGCTTCCTTGATGTGTCTCCATCCAGCCAAAGTTGAAAGTGCAACAGTGACACCTACTGGATGCCCAGGGGTGATTGTTTAGGACCTTCCATTCCCTGTCTAGACCCAGAGAAATGGGCTGGAACAGCAGACGGTGTGGTGCCGGCGGTGCACACAGACTCAGAATGAGTGTTTGATAAATGGTAGGCTTCTCTGAACCTCCCTGCAGAAACTGTTCAAGGATGCATGCTCAATAAACCATTCACTATGCAAACAAACAGAGGCTACAAAAAAGGAGTGCAGATTCTGTTGACGTACATAGAGAGCAAAGGAGAGGAGGTTTTTGTCTCACTTCCCCGTCTGAATGAAGCACTGTGTCACTGGCTCCCAGTCCACACACAACAGTAATAAGCAGCTTCATCTTCCAGAAGGGCCCCCGTGATGGTCAGGGACATCACGTTCTCCGATCGAGACCCAGAGAAACGGGCTGGAACGTCAGACGGTCGGGTGCTGGTGGTGTACATTATCTGTCGGGGTCTACTCCCAGGTTTTTTCTGTGCCCACCAAGGCTCATTGCTGTCACCGATGTTTCCACTGTCAAACCTGCAAGACATGGTGCCACAAATTCTGGGTCCTTCAAAGTCTGTAGCTGCTGGACACTGGGACCTGGAAGGAAGCAAGGCAGGGAACTGCTCAGCACATTAATCTACATCAAACATTTTGCAAAGTGCAAGGTTTTAGGGAACAGAAGATCACTGCTTTTGTTTCTACGCAGATTTGTCCCCATTCACCCAATGAATTTGCCTCACCAATGATGGCGATCAGGAATGTGACGAGAAACAAGGCCATGATGGTGAAAACTGCTGGGCTAGATTTTCTAAAGCAAAAGGAGATCCCATTGGCATCTCTTAAATCCCCAGAGATCAGGGGAGCAGCCCCTTCATGCAAATGTCTAGCTCCTTAACTACTGTAGAGGACTAACAGAAAAAGCAGCTGCCAACTCCTGGTCATGCTATGTTCAGGACTTGGGACTGACAAACTGGATTCAGAATTTAAGCTTAGAATGTGCTAGGGTTTTTTGTTTTTTTGCATTACTTTATTTTATAGGTCCCCCCTTACACACAGTGGCAGGCAGCGTCCTTTCCTTCATGATTAATCCAGGGGTGGACTAGTCTGTGTTTAGCACAAGGCACTAAAAAGAATCCTGGCCTGATTGAAGGAATGGATCTGCAGAAAACATTTCAGCTCACGCCATGCCTGCAACAGCATGGCTGCATTTGCTAAAAATAATTCCCTGGACCAAGGGGTCAGGACGGGGAGCAACCCTTGAATTCAGTGAAGATGTTAGGGTTCAACACCCAAATCTGTTCTGTTGTTGTTTTTGTTTTTGTTGTCCCAGTGATAACACTGGTTGGAATATATGAATCCCTGGTACAGAAAGCTGTTCTTCTCAATATGTTTAAGCAGTGATTTTTTCCTGAGGGGATGCAGGGGTATGCATACCCCTAAACATTTTATGAATCTTTGTCAAGGTAAAGGGACCCCTGACCATTAGGTCCAGTTGTGGCCGACTCTGGGGTTGTGGCGCTCATCTCGCTTTACTGGCCAAGGGAGCCGGCGTACATCTTCCGGGTCATGTGGCCAGCATGACTAAGCCGCTTCTGGCGAACCAGAGCAGCGCACGGAAATGCTGTTTACCTTCATGCCAGAGTGGTACCTATTTATCTACTTGCACTTTGACTTGCTTTTGAACTGCTAGGTTGGCAGGAGCAGGGACTGAGCAACGGGAGCTCACCCAGTCGCGGGGATTCGAACTGCCGACCTTCTGATCAGCAAGTCCTAGGCTCTGTGGTTTAACCCACAGCGTCCCATGAATCTTTGTACTCTTGTCCATTTACTGTATTTATTTTTCCCAATTTCAACTATAAAATGGTGATTTTCTTGAGTCAAAATGAGAGTACTCCTAAACATTATTTGAGAAAAATAGAACTGGGTTTAAGTGCATTTTCCGAAGCAACCTTGTGCGGCCCAATACTCATCAAAGATTAGGGGAGAGGTCTAGCAGGGCAAAGCTTCCCTCTGAAGGTTCAGGCCCTGCCCCTCTCCTTTGAGACATTATGCCCTGCATAACATCATGCCCTGTGGTGATAATAAGTACTAGCACTGGTAGGTTGCAAGCCATATATTCTTCCAATGCTTTCCTATCTACTGCAGGTTGAGATCCTTTTCTCTTTTTTTACATTGTATGCATACATTTGGGGATTGGCATTCAGGATTTTAAAACACGGTGCTGGTGCAGACATTGCTGAAACTTTGAAAGGCGGTTCAGATTCTGCTGATGTACACAGGGAGCAAAGGAGAGGAGGTTTTTGTCTCACTTCCCCATCTGAATGAAGCACAGTGCCAGTGACTCGCAGTCCACACAGCACAGTAATAAACAGCTTCGTCTTCCAGAAGGGCCCCCGTGATGGCCAGGGACATCGCATTCCCTGAGCTAGACCCAGAGAAACGGGCTGGAACATCAGGCGGTCTGTTCCTGGTGGTGTACATCATCAGTCGATGTTTACTCTCGGCTTTTTTCTGCACCCACATAGGCTGGTTGCTGTCACTGATGCTCCCGCTCTCCAATCGGCAAGACATGGTGACCGTCCCACCCGGAGCCACAAATTCTGGATCCTTCAAGTTCTGTAGCTGCTGGACACTGGGACCTGGAAGGGAACAATGCATTTTATTGTTTGGCAGTTTAATTTACTATGTAGCATCACCAAATGTTCTGCAAGCTGTAGGGTTTTGGAGCACAGAGGACGCATGTTCTTTGCTTCAAAGAAAATGTATCCCATCTGAAAAGTGAATTCCCCTTACCAATGATGGACAGCAGGATTGAGAAGAGAAGCATAATGGGGAAATCTGCTGGGCTAGTTTTCTCTGAAGCAAAAGGATATCTCATTGGCATCTGCAAAGCATCTGTTAAATCCCAGAGGTCAAGGGAGGAGCCCCTTTCATGCAAATGTGTAACTCCTTAACTATGGTCTCTAGATGCTGGAGGACTAGCTCAGAAAAAGCAACTGCAGTCTTGCTGGTTGTGGTATGCTCAGAGACCTGGGAATCTGAGGAGTGGGAATCTGAATTCATGGACTAAGTTTTCGTTTTAGAGCTGTTTCCTTGTGTACAGCAACAGGCAGACTTGCATTTTTCTTTCTGGCAACCCCTTGCCCTGCCAATCTCATATAAATCTCATATAAATCATTGGGGTGGTCTAGTTTCTGCTTAGCCCAAGGCATTTGCAGAATGAATCTGAGACAAAAGAATTCAGGTCACACCATCTCTGAAATGTCTCCTGAGTTAGCTAAAAACTAAACAAAACTGGGACCAGAGGATCAGGCTCAGTCCCTGAATGCATTCATTGCTGTCAGAGTTTAGCCCCCAAACCTGTTTTTGTTCCTAGGGTAGCACCAGAAAATAGGAAGCCATGGGGGGAAACATATTTTGAACTTATTTAGACTGCATTTATATAGCCCAACATTAGGGAGAAAATCTACCAGGGCAAGTGTCCTTCAACCTTGGCACCTCGGCTTTGAGAGCAGAGAACGGGTTTGCAGTATGGAAGATGGAGACATGGATTCAGGTCAGGGAACAAGCAGGAGAGCTGAGGGGTGTTCTCTTCCAGTAACACCGTAGACCCCTTTTGCTGTGGAGTAACACACGCACAAACAGCGTCTCTCCTTGTTGCTGATGAGTCTCCTTTAGAGAAGCAGGCTACTGACAGCAAATCAGATTCTGCGCTGCCATCAACATCACCTCCTGAGATGGTGTGACACCAAGGTTGCCACCAACAGACCTCAGAACCTCAACCCCCTTGGGTTGGG